AAAAAAAAAAAAAAAGAATGTTGCCATTACCTCCTTACTCAGATGAAAAAACAAAAATGGAAATTTTTTTAACTGTCTATAAAGGGGGTAACAGGCTATAAACACCTTGCTTATAGAAGATATGTATTATAACCAGTGTAACTTTTATTTAGCATGAAAAGGGACAAGGAGTAATAGAAGAGAATGAAGTTTATAGTAACACTCTGGCTGGAGTCTGGGTGACAACTGGCAGCACTCCAGTACTGAGAAGAAACCGGATACACAGTGGCAAGCAGGTAGGATTAGCCTGGGCTCTTGGATGGGAAATATATTGTTTTGTAAATAACTGTCCCTTGAAAAAGCTTTTTTTTTTTTTTTTTTTTAAATTTTAGGTTGGTGTTTATTTTTATGACAATGGACACGGAGTGCTAGAAGACAATGATATCTATAATCACATGTATTCAGGGGTTCAGATAAGGTAAATATTTTCACATTTGGCTTTCTTTTGGGAGGGAATTAGGAGTATGTAGGGTGTGAGAAAAAATTTGCTTATTGTTTAATGCCCAATCTTTATCCCCCTGTTTTTTATATATATATATATTCACATTCTTAAAATAATCTTGACTTAAATTGTCAGAATGTAGCTTTCCTTGGTCTAGGTGAGGACAGAAGCCAGTGGTACATGTGCCATAAGAGCTCACTTGCACCGTTCCGCTTTCCACTGTAAGAGTCACATCAGCTGCCAATATAATCCCTCATACTTCGAGAGTGGAAGTCTGTATTAAAATACTTGTGCATTATGCCTGGCATATCATTGGCACTCAATAAACTGAAGCTTCTGATTTATGATATTTCTTTAAAATTAATAGTTTTTGATAAGCTTCTAATATTTTAAGTTTTTGGAACTGTAACAGTCCTAATGATCATATACTGGCATACCTCTGTTTATTACACTTTACAGTTTATTGTGCTTCACAGATACTGTGTTTGGTTTTTTTTGTTTTTGTTTTTGTTTTTTTTTTACAAATTGAAGGTTTGTGGCAACACTGTGTTGAGCAGATCTCTCAGTGACATTTTTTTCCAGCAGCATATCTGCTCCCTGTCTGTCTCATTTTTATAATTCTTAGAGTACTTCAGATTTTTTCATTATCATTATA